TGGGAACAAAGGACTTTAAAATGCCTCTTCCCATATAAAGTGGTAAACACAGAGACAGAACAGAGGGTTTTGTTTCCATGGTTTAAAATGGAAATGTTTGGTAAATCTGGCCACATTTTATTTACTGCTAAATATAAATTAAATGATTGTAAGTAATAAAAAATTAAATATTAAGTATAAATCTAAGACTCTACTGTGATGTTTCCATACATCCACTTCAATAAGGAATGAATCAATAAATAAACATCCATCCATCCACTTAAATAAGGAATGAATCAATAAATAAACATTAAATGTGACATAAATATCTTTCTTACGTGGTTTTTTGGCTGGTGGTGGTAAAGTCAGGCCGAGGTACGGACCGGTCTCTCCGTCCAGTCTCCGTTTGTACTTCTGTCGTCCTCCTCTCACTCTGTCCAGACGAACACCTGCAGAACAACCAAACACACACAACAGTAAAGACAAGTCCAGCAGTGTTTTGTTACAGCAGGAAGTTTCATCACTTTATTACAACGATTTGAAAAAAGCTTTATCCAATAACAACAGATGGATTTATTCAACTGCTGGTCTGGCTTTACAGTGAATTTAGGTATAATTTGTATACATATATTTAGAAAAGCTTCCTTTTTATTATCTCCTAGCTCGGTATTTAGTACGTTTAGGCTAATTTGAGTTAAATAATGGCTCGGTTGATAGATTCCAGGGCAGCATTGAATCAACTTATTTGTAATTTTTCTGTTAAAACTTTGCTTTCATGGGACATGTTTTAATATATCCAAGCACTAACCACATTTATTTTTAAGCTACGTTTTAGTAGTCATGGTTATTGTAGCTCTTTTGTTGTTTGGCTGCTTTGTTGAATAACGAGCAGCTGTTTGGCTAACATTTAGCTACTTCTCCTCAAATTAAACATTTTTGTGGCTATGTCCTTTCATAATAAAATATTTTCCATTCATCCTGAGAGTTTCCAGTGCACATCGCTAACGTAGCCGGTGAACATGGAGTTCATTTAATGAAAAGCATCGCCATCATATACATGTCATAACAAGGACAATGTTTTCCTCCATCCCTTTTTAACCTTTCCCTCTGTGTGCTGTTCAATATTGGCCGGCCACAGATGGAGCAGTGTAAGTACCTAGTTGGTATACAAACGTGACATATCTGGGATTATCTCCAAAGCTCATCTCAGATGACGCCACAGGCTGCATCAGAAACATCTCATGTGTTGGATTTACAGGCCGGGAATTAAAAAGTTGTTTGAAGAGTGAGGCGAGAGCAAACAGCTTTTACATGGTCAAGTAGAATTGAGTTGTGCGAGATTTCCCAGTGACTCATATAAATTCCTCTGATTCCCCTGGAAACAAAAGAATCCGATTAGGATGGTCTTTCAATTTCCTGACACCGACTATCCACTAACCTAATTACCCAGCCAGCCCAGAGGGAGCTCGTTCTTCCCAGCAAACACAGTGAGATCATTTTATGCCTGGCAGATTGAAGCTAAATCGAGAGCCCCCTCTCCTAACACGGCTTTCCATTTGTATGCCTTAAAGTAATCAATAAGCCTCGCAAATAGACTTCTTGTTCTTTGAACACATGTGGATGCAGTTTTAATTAGTCAGTTAGGCAGCCAGAAACTGGGTTCGCAACAGATGCAGCCTGAGTAGCAGTTTTTAATCATTACTCACGGTTAAGGTAAATTTAAAATTATAAATTGTGCCGGTGCAGGAGCCTGGGCACATGTGCTCCACATATTAAATCAATTCACCAGCTTCTCTCTATTTAATGGCATACATAGGGATAATAAAGACACAGTCAGCTACTAAAAGCTCCCCCAACAATAATCTCGTGTAATGCAAAAAATATATTGAGCTGGGTGGATTATAAATTATTGCACCATCAGAATGAGACATGGTGAAATCTTTTTTTTTTTCTTCTGGGCTACAACAATCCACAGTGTGCAGACCCATGATTGCATTGAATGCACACACACTGATGTGTAACCAGGCATGCACGCACACACACGCACGCACGCACACACAATTAGGGTCAAATTGAGCAGGGTCTCAGAGGAAAATGCCCTTGAAATGCACTGAAGAAACTCTTGACTGGTGTTTTGAAACAAATCATTTATATTATTAGTATTAACCCTTGAAATGTATGAAAATGCACTGAAGAAACTCTTGACTGATGTTTTGAATATCTCTGTAAAACAAATCATTTATATTATTAGTATTATTAATAATACTAATAATACTAATAACAACAAGAACAACAAGAATAATAATGATAATACCCAAGTGAACCAAAATGTAAATAGCCAAGAATCAGTGTGTTTTTAAAAAGCAAAATAACTACTATCCAGAAAAAACACCAAAGTAACTTGTTAGTTAGCAATCAGATAGACTGGCTAATTTCTAGCAAAGAAGAATACGCCATAATACAGTAAATGTTTACTCAAATAAGTATACAAAAAAAAGTCAAATGAAAAACAGTTGAGACTAAGTTGGCCAAAACATAGCACGGGTGGGGAAGCAAAAATAATTCAACCAAACAACAAAAACTATAAGTTGGTGTTACTAACAAAAGTTATCAAATTAATAGGACAAACTAAAGCCAGCAGTGTCGAAAATCTGTTTAAACTACAACATCAAATTAAGGAGAAAAAAAAAATCCACCCAACAATAGCAGCCATGGACACACGGTCCCGGCTGGAGATGCAGAGTCATGTGGCCGTGATGAGTGACAAGTGAAGAAACAGCCGGAGTGAAATTTCCATGATGTGCAGAGGGCCGTCTGAAAGTGGAACATCCAACTGTCCAATAATTAATAGATAGTGATGAGAATTAAGAGCTCAGCGTTAACCAGTGTCAGTTTACAGCTTAGCAGAGGCCGCGGGGCAGAGGGAAGAACACGGAGGGAGGGAGTGGGGGAGGGAGTGAGGGAGGGAGGGTGACGATGAGGACTGAGGAGGAAGGAGAATATGACCAGACAAACCGCTGATTTTGGATAAGGAATGTGATTTTTTTTCCTCTCTCTCTCTCTCTCTCTCTCTCTCTTCCATCTGACATTTTCTCCTTATTTCTTTCAGAATGGGACATTCAGGACATCTCCGTCCCCGTCCCCCTCTCTGTCCCATCGTCCAGCGTGGGATTATCTCCTCCCCATGTGATACAGCACAGTACTGAGAATCTGACCACAACAAGACAGCTGGACGAGGCCCCTGGTAAAGGACCCCGGGCTGGTGTCATCGTCAGCACCACATTCCACAACTCTGGCCCAGACCCAGAACCAAAGCAGCCCACATTTGCTTCAAGACAATTGCGCCCAGACAAGAACGTGTGTCCGAGGAGCGAGAGTCTGCTTCATGCGGGCCAGACCAGAGCACGGATCATCTTCAAAGCAGCCACACATTTTTTTTTTGCTTGTAAAGTTTGGCAGCCGAGTTATGGAAGCACGGGCTGGAGGTTGGTGGGGAACGGGAGACGTTAGAAGTTAGTGTGCGTTCAGGGATCATGGATCATACAGTGTAGTCAGTTACTGCTGGCTGTGACAGAGACCCATCCTGCTTGGCAGGGTCTTCATGTGTGTGTGTGTGTGTGTGTGTATCTTTACAACCCCCCGACCCTGGCTTCCCTTTAACATTCAATACCATTATTGACTAGTGAAACCGAAGCACAGCTTTGATCTAGGGTGTCATGAGATATTTATTCTTTCGGTTCTTGTAAATTCTGGTACCGACGCTGTATTTTAGGGCAACTTACAGTAGTTCAAATTCAGCGATTCCAACAAATAAATCAATTTTTTAAATCAAAGTAGAGGTTAGGATTCAAGAAAGATTGTTGTTTTCCACTGCCTATCAAAAATCCCGGGTGAACCAATCAAAACAAGATGTATACACATGGTTGGTGCCTTTCCATGGAGCTCTGAAGCTCAGATTATAATTGCTCCCAAAGGGAAAAATCAGGGCTACAGTGGGAAATAAAAATAATGTTGCCTAAATCATTCAAAGTTCACGTTCTGGCAGCGGCCAAGGTTGAACATCTTTCGGAGCATTAGAGAAATATTAATTCCACCTATGTTTGATTCACAAACAGACAATAATGTCTTTACACTATAACATTCACAGCACGAGTCAATCTGTGTGTTGGGAAAACGTATGGAAACCTCCAACATTTCTCACTGATTAAAGTGCTCTGCCAAGTTTAGGGCAGATATCTGGACCATGTGTTTATTTGTAGGGTTAAATAAATGGTTGTAAAAAAAATGCTCAAATTTCCAGACTAAACACAGACAACATTACGTCAGTAGGAGCTGTGGTCCAGCACGGAGCATAAATGGATCCAATAACATGTGCCAAGGCAATAAAGTGCAAAGAGGGGCAATAAAAAATAATGGAGAGACTAAAAATACAAAAAAGCAATTTCATCTCCAAAATGCGATGAATTAAAAGGTACTGTATATCTAAGGTAGTCACCATATCAGACCTTAGTGGAGTTCTGTTGGTTTTATTATAGCTGTTCAATCATGGAAAAAAACAAACAAACAAACCAGGAAACTCTGTTTGGTTTTGGCCCTCACTAAACTGCAGAATGATCTTTTATCCAGATGTTTGATGAGATGAGGGACATCCAAAAGGACAGAGCTAGAAAAAAATAGATCTAGATATCGCTGGAAAAAATGTCGTCAGAGATGTGTCTGAAGACGCAGCAACGACCGCCTGGACGTGAGTGAATTCCTGGGATTAGGTTTTAAAAATATAGATTTCTACACAGGACAGGAGGAAAAAAAAACATGTCTATTGAAGAGACGACCATGAGCCAGAATTGAGTAGCTGAAAACCTAATGATATATACTGCAGGACTGTTGGTATTGTTTATGGAGTGCTAAGCTATTCAAAATGTGGAATCAACCAGAAGTTTCAAGAGCTGCAGTACCTCTATTGACCTCTAGGTCTCTAAAGAGTCCCTGTTGAAGAACTTTTCTTTCTGATTTTACGATTGACTGCAAAAGAAAAAAAAAAACCTGCCATGTGACAGGTTCATGTTAGCGTGTACTTGTACTTGTATGTGTCTATATGAACATGTGCACTAGTACATGTATCTCACGCAACTATTTTGGGCCACTCACCTGTCAGAGGCGCTTCTTTCTAGAGAATGTGTCAGAATTGGCCGCCTCGTCAACACTGCCAGGGGGAGATTAGGAGCTCCCTATTTTAGCAGAGAAAAATCAGAGGGATGCAGCCTCTGGCCCCCTCCTGCACACTGGCTTTGCCTTTTCAGAAGGCCCGGGGCCCCTAGGGGCGCCCAGGGGCCCAATCTGTTAACCTGTACGGAGGTGTTAAACTGATCTGCCTGAGCGGGAGGGAGGGAGGCGGGGGGAGGGGCTGACTGTCTGACCGTACGCTCTCACGTTGTCTCTTCGTCTTGTTTCACACATTTCACAAATGTGCGCATAAGTGGTAACACGCCGTAATGTGTTACGGAGCCACCGTGACCACAAATGTGCCTGTAATTGAAAACATCTGCACAGCTGGACACGGCCGGGTCGATTCAGGATCCCTGGTGTATATCGGTCGGTCTGTGGTGTTCACACAGACCGTGAGCAGGGTGCCAGCAGGAAGTACGCACCACAAGGTCCGATTCCATGACACTTGTCAGGGTTGATATACAACTGGAATGTGTGTGCATGAATGTATGTGTGTGTGTGTGGTGTGTGTATGTGTTGGACAGAGATCATCTCTTGGCTTAAACCCATGTCTTCAGAGGAACATGTGTTGTCCTCCGTGTCTGATCTATCACCTGCCAGACAGTGAGGACAGACCACAGCAGAGACTCTGGGGTGGGCTGGATCTCAGAGCTGCTCCTCACTCTGGGTCCTTTACCAGCAGGACGAGAAAAGGAAACTTTCTTGACCTCAAATGCAAATCTAATTTAATAATACTTAATCTTAATCAGCTTAATCAGCTACTGGTTGACAATTTTTTTTTCTTTAACAGGGTATCTGTGGTTTAACAGTATCACAGTTCTAATATATATTTTCTGCTTTTATAGCTATTTTCAAGACAGGTTTTAGATACGTTAGGGAGCTAGCTAAACGCCCTACATGGCATAATGGCATTTGTTTTTGTTAAAGCTAAGCGAACTTGGACACTTTCCACTCATGCTTTGCAGGTTATTAATATAGCTTACTGTTTTACGAGGTACATAAAAGCCGCTTCCAATGGAGATGGTCAGTTAGCAAGCTGCTATCGGCCTGTACTGCATATACATGTACAGGCCCGTACAGATGGAGCTTAAGCTACATTTTTATTTTGATGATGTAATGTTAGCCTATGGATTGGTTTCTGATTCAAGCCTATTGATTGGCCAAGGGTCCTGACAGTCTGTGATATTGGATATGGCTTTACTAATCTTTTGTGAATGCGGCTGGAGGAAAATAAGGCGGTAACACTACCCCGGTAGCCACGCTCGCTCAGGAAAGACTGCTGATCCCTATCTGTGGTTGGGCGAGGGCGAGACAGCGGTGACGGTTGCCAAAATAGTCTGGCATCTTGTATTCATCCAACATGTTACAGTGGTGTCAGAAAAGCCCCTCACAGGCGAAGAACACACCGCAGGAACACTGAACTGACAAGGAACAGACAAACATCGACCTCACAGCAGCGAAGGCTCCGGTGGTTGAAGCATGCTAACGTGAAAAGCCAGATTTGATTACTCAATCGAAGAAATAGACTCGTCCTACTCCAGCTGTAGCAAACAAACAAGAGCAAAAATAAACCGGACTACAATCTCAAAATAAAGGATACTCAATATTTCCAAGAAATTCTATGCATCATTTAGCACCGTACAGTAATGCTATGGGAGTATTAACGCCGCTGTTAGCCGCGGGCACGGACTCCTGGCACTGGTGACTGACACCATACCTTCCGTAGGTTGTAATTACGCGGCGGTTTTTCCATTGAACCGGTGACCTTTCCTCAGTCTCAGCTGGACATTTACTGGGTCACAAAACAGGTCTCCTCCAACTGCCAAGTCCAACTCATGTCTACCCAGACGGTCCAGACACTCTGCTGTGACACAGCAGTGCAGTCAGACCTGGAGCAGAGCCGTCTGTCCTGGGCAGAAGACGAGGGCTCATTCTGCAAATTATTTAAAATTTCAAAATTATTTTAGCTAATTACTACCACTAACTTATTAACCTCCGTATTGTTTCATTTTGACCTCATCCTTTTATTGTTACCGTTTATTGACACACTTCCTGTTTTAGGATCACTTTTTGCAAATATTTGCTTGGCTGTTTTTTCATTGCTAATATTGAACTAATATTTTAACTATTTTTTCTACAAGGTGTTCTGCATTTTTTCTTACACTTCATGAACCTTATATATATATACCTATGTATATATATAGATACATATATATGTTTATATCTATACATATCTATATATGACAATTAATTGAATCTAATCATCAGTAATCTTATCAAATCCACCAGGGTTAGTCTCTGCCCCCAACTGCCCCACTGATACCATGATCAAAGTTCCCTCTAGTGTGAAAGCAGCCATGCCGCAGCATCAGGACATAATTAAGTGTTCTTTTTTTCCTTTTAATTGAGTGCCATCACTTTCAGAGAATCGCCCACTGAGCCACATGTCGCGGTTGCTGTGATGCTGCATCTCAGGAGCGGCAGGTGGCGGAGGCAACGGCATCAAATTTCCACCTCACACATTCACACACAGATAAATGCAGACACACTGACCGTCCACATCAACAGCCACAGACAATGCCCTGCTGTTTTTCCTATAAGCAGCCACTAATGGGTTCAGCTTTATTTCTGAGCAACAGTGTTTTTTCTGGACCAGAGTCAAAGCCTCGGTGTGAGGTATTTGGACGGGGATGAAGACATCAGGAGTGGACGCAGACATAACTGGGGCTCCAGTGGAGTTAGAAAGGATGACTCCTCATTGTGGCGTTGTATATGTGGAAATGAACCAAAAGCTTTAAGTACAGTTTTATGTTACAAGCCTAGATTGTAGTTAAGAGATTTGTTGATGTTGGCACAACACAGCAATAAAAAGGTCTGAGCAGAGGGTTATATTTAGGACCGTTGATCCTGAGGTTGTCTCTCTAAGAGCAGGTTGTCAACACCTTCTGTAAATAAATCTTTTTTAAAGATATTTTTATATACATATATTTATATCAGTAGAATAGCTGAGATGATGAGCTCCGGCTACTTCTTCTTCTGCTAATGGACCGTTCAAGGCCTTGTTACACAATTCCCCTGGTGGTTTTTGTACAATTTTGCAACATTTAGCGCACATTATTTTTCACTAATTTTCAAGATGACATTTAAAAGTGAAATTGTTAAAGTAAATGTCAGGTCTCATGAGGGAATCAAACCTACGTCTCATGGGAGACAGATGTTTTACCACTGCACAAATTTGTAAACGCCACCGCAGACAAACGTTTACGTGAACAGAGGAATAGAACTGAAGGTGTGTTACACTGCGACGAAATTAAGGCAAAACAAGTTCTAGAATTCCAAATGTATACGACTTGATCTAGAAGTCCAGTGTGTATCAGCTGTGATCAACCACTGGCCCAAATGTGTCAAATGCTGCCTTCCTCAAATCCACTGAGCCGCTGTGAGACCAGAGAGGTCAATATTTTTTCTCTTTATTTTTTTAAAGGAATTTTTTATTGAAAATATTGTTGTTTATTCCAGTTTTTTTCAGACTAATTGTTTTTTATTAAAGACTTTTTGGGGTTAATAACAATTGATGCAAGTATTTCTTGAACCTCTTACATATTTTTTGGATAATTTCGGTTCTTTTGGATTTTTTTTTTTTATTATTAGTATTAATAGTATAATTAAATATATTAAATAATAATTAAACCTGAAGCAGGTTCAGGCCACTCCTTTTTTTTGCCTAAATTTAGAATTTTTCTCTTTTCTAAAAACCTATTCTAAACCTATTGTTTTGATTCCTGTTTGTATATTTTATATATATAATATATATAAATATAATATAATTAAAAATGTAAGGCTGTGGGACACATTATTCAGGGGGTCGAGACAGAACAAAGACTTAAAAATTAAATTAAAAGATAATTTGCATTTTAAACCTGTGGCAGCGGCAGAAACTGTTGGCTAAATTAAAAAATAATAAATCAAATTCTTCCTCTGGAAAATGACGGTCTAAACTATCTGCTGGATTCTCCCTGTGAACTCCCAGAGGTCTCCCAGCGGAGGAAAAACAACACATGCAGGAAGAGAGTTGGGATGTTCGGAAAGCATTTAGTGGATCAATAGGCCAGGCACGAGAGGGGAAGGAAGACAGACAGCAGGAGTGAGGGTGAGAGGAAGGGTGAGGAACAGGAGAGAGAGGGGGGAGAGGGAGAGGGAGAGAGACCCAGAGCACAATGGGAGAGGAAAATCTTAGGGGAACGGCTTGTGCTTTTCTAGAGTACTGTTACACATCTCAGTCAGTGTCGGCAGGAACATCCACCTCAGCAGCTTTTTCCACGTCTGGGTTCAGCGGCGAGGCAGAGCTCAGTCAGGAGAGGTGAGGAAGGCATGTGGGCCATGTGACGGCGTCTCCCCCAGGCAACAGCTGGCTTTAATATCTGATCGCCGACCGCTCCGTCGGCCTCTCAGGGTGGAACAGATGTAAGGCTCTATTTTAACGATCTAAGAACGCGGTGTAAAGTGCACGGCACAAGTGCATGCAGGGCGTGTCCAAATCTCCACTCTAACTGGTTTAATGGTGAGGGGTAGGAGAGTCAGTGCAGCGAGTGTGTGGTCTAAGAGGCTCGTACTTACTCTGCTAATTAATCACGCCGTGTGTTTAAGGCAGAACAAAGAAAAACCAGTCCGAGGGCCGTTCCTCTAAAAGGCAGCAGGTGAAGGGCGGCGTTATACTTCACAGATGAGTAGTGCTACACTCACTGAGTACATGGGATGTTCACAGTACGCACCATTAAATGGAAGAGTGAAATACAGCTGAGCTGACTTTAGACCAGACTGTTATTAGTCAACACGGCCGTGTCTGCTCACTGCTTTACCACTGCTAACAACATGGTGGCCTGATGGAGGGAAAACTGCCCCCCCACCCCCTTTATAAAGGTGCTTTACATGAGTGTAGTGCTGTGTTGGTTGACAGTAGTCTGCAGTGGTGGGACTTACCTTCTTTCAACATGCCAACTTTAAGACACTTCATGAAGCGACAGGCCTGGCACGACTTGCGTCTCCTCTTGGTGATTTCACATTCGTTCGTGGCCGGACAGCTGTACTCGATGTTTCCTGTGAGGAAACAACAAAGTAGAATGTGTTGTAGAGTCGATCTGATGTGGACAAACATGGCTGCCTCCCACACACACTGCTATACATTACAAGTACTCATCAACATGCAAAAACACTTGAACGTTTTAAATAAAAACTGTACATAACACACAAATACTACACAATGATTTAAAGAAATGGAGGCATGTTTAAGTGTCATAAACCTCACAGGTTTCCTCTGTCATGAACGATGAGCTGAGGGTAAAAATATCATGGAAGACTAAATATACTTTCACTGACGACTAAAGGAGCGTAAGTGTTGAAAACCTCGGGACTACTCCTTTAACAAGCTGCACAAAGAGGCTGCAAAGGAAAAACCCTGCGTGCACGCACACACCTGTCCCAAGGTGACCCTGCGACTCCTGAAGGAGAGGAGAGTTTAGTGGCATTTTGATGGGACATGTAAAAAGCATCTCCCGCCCCCGGAGTCCCACCCCCCATTTTGATCCACAGATAAATTAGCTTCATTAATGCAGAGCGTCTTCTCTGAAAGGCTCGCCACGACCCCGTCCAGTCCATACTTCTTCACCTAAAAGGATGATGGGATATCTGTCCAAGCCCAACCACTAACTGCCTGAGAGTTCTGCATAATGCTGTGCAGTGACGACCAGAAGCTGCCGTTGGACTGGTCAATCTAAAGCTGCCATATCATCTAGCCCGGCCTGATTTATTATTCAGGTCTGTCTGGACGGCTGTCGGCTCGCCGTGGAAATATTTCCTATGCAATTTAATCACTCGGGTCCAAAAACAGACAGAAAAGCAGACATACTGGATCCGCTGCCTGTCTTTGTCACCGGTTTCCTGTTAGCAGTTTCTTTTTGGATCATTACACACTCGCTGCAGAAGTTTACACCACCCCGGGACTCCAATGACAAATCCTCCCCAGGATCCAAATCCCTTGATTAAATGTTTAAGTAATGTCCTTTAAGTCCACAGATGTATTAATGATACCTAAAAACAGCAAACCAGGTGTTGTTTGAGGCGGTTCTGCCCCGACACACACACACACACACACACAGATACAACCCCCTGTTGGACAAGGAGAAGGTGCCAACATTTGTCAGGATCCCTGGAATGGATGGTGCCAGCAGGGTCACATGCTCAGCGAGGGGCCCGGGGCACGGTGCCAGGATGTTGGCAGAGGCTGCTGCTGCTGCTGCTGCTGCTGCTGCTGCTGCTGCTGCTGCTCTCAGAGTGGCTTATGTCTCTGAGAGAGAGGGGCAGCGGCGGGGGGGCGGACGGACGGACGGACGGACTGCAGTGCACACGTGTAGGTGGGTCACACACAGCTATGACAGTGTCGACATCAAGTTTATATTTTCAGTTTAAACATTCAATGGACCAAATGTTGCTGGGACAAAGGTATGGAAGTTTCGATGGAACTGACGAGTGAATGCAACAAAGGTGGAGTCTGCCGGCATTTTGGCCAATGAGACGTCAGTTAAAAACAAAGTCATTCTACTGTACGTTTGAGACGTGTTTTTAAATTTTGCAACATTCCAAAAAGTCCACAACAACATAAAAACGTTTAGAGATGAATACCTCAAAAAAAGTCACTGTCCACCTGTGACTGGACCCCCCCCACACACACACAGACACACACTCCTTCTGTAGGTATAATAATAACTATCATCTGTTGCAGTAGACAAAAAATACATTTCGACATACAAGCCAAAATTTACAATTTTAAAAATTCTTTTGAATTTCTACTTATTATACTCATCATATATATTTGTAATGTCTTTGTCTTTGCCATAATGTGAGGTAAATATTGATATTTTTTTTTTAGGCTTGAATGTCGCAAAAACACAACTTCATCCTACCAACATCTTTTTGAATGTCGCAATATATTAACCAAAAGTACAAATAAAAAAAACACAACTTCATCCTACCAACATCTGTGATCATTTATGGGAAATTTTAGATTATCTTAAGCTTTTTCATTTTCAGTCAATGTTCAAATTCTGGAGGAACGTTCAGTTCTTTTTGGTGTTTGTCTGCTCTCGTAGTTCTTTTAGTTCTTTTTGGTGTTTGTCTGCTCTCGCCTTCATTATCCATGACTGTATCTGACATCCAGCTGTTTGTGGTTTTAAGAAACGTCTCTCTTTAGTATAAAAGGTTGATTTGTATTTTGTATTGATCACATTTTACATGTAAACAAGAATATACGTCAATATGAAATCAAATCTCAAATTAAATAAATGAATAAAATCCCAATGAGGGCAATTCCAGTCAGTTTACAGATCAAATTACCTCGGTGGATGTGTAGGTAGGTTAACAGTGTTGTTCCCAGATCGCTCCTAAATGGCCTCGCTCTAAAAGCTCACTGTGGTCATGTGGCCTCTTAGTTAATCAGGTCCCGTGTCCACCTTTCTTCCTCAGAGGACATTTCCACCACTCTCATATCCTTCCTTAACCTCTCTTATTTTCCCTCTAAATTTTGATATATTATTATGCCATGCTATTATCCACACGCTCATCCCCACTCAGGCTGGACCTCTCCTTGTCCTCCTCCTCTACCGAGGCTGGACCCCCACCACCGCCCGTCCTGATTACCATTCCATTAAAGCAGCTTCTCCTTTCAGCCCATGACCACGTCCCCTGTCCCTTAGCCTTTTATTTAGAGGACTTCTCAGCGTCTCGCTCCTCTCCTCCTCTCTTTCCTCTCTTAGTGCTCCGACAACACGTGCCTCAGCTTCTAATTGGCCCCCGTCTCCTCCCCCTTGGGTGGTGGGGGGCCCGAGGGCAGAGAAGGGATCTGCACCTCCCACCCTCCTGTCTTGACTTTCTCCCAATGAAATGCCTGCTTCTTAATTACAGTCACCCAACACTGATTGTTATTGACTGTAACTCCCGTGGCACAGGACGAATGACGGACAGATTAGGTTCATTACGAGTCTGTCCTCCACGAAGGAGAGCAACAGAGAGACATGGAAGAGGAGAAGAGGAGGAGGAGGAGGAGAGAGACGACACAAAGTCACACCTGAGCACGGTTTATGTTCTGCACCATGATAACAAAGTCACTTTGGGGTTTTTTTTTTCAACCAGGGCTTTGTTTTTTTATTTCCTTTTTTAACGCTGTGAACCGTGTCTCTGGGGCATTTCGGATCATTTTCAGTGCTAACCTTTAGCTATTCCTGGACGAACTTTTGCTTAACTTTGAGAAATGTCTTTTGGTTTGTTTGTTTTTAGCCAGATTTTGAATTTGTCTTTAAACTCAAAACTATTTATGTGTGAGTTTTATAACTTATACCCAGTTTTTGTCTCACCTTAAAGTCTTTTAGATCATTTGTTTTGGTATCTTTTCACTAAAAACTGGTGTATGTTTTTAAGCCATTATTATTATTTTAGTGACACCGTGAGATAGTTCTGGTGACCTCATTACTTTGATGAAATTTAAATATTTTTTAAAAAGCAACATTCTGGTTTTATTCTGAATGACTTTAAAGTCAATTCCACATCGTAACGTTTCACTTCATTTTTTCGAAGTCTAACTTCATTAAAGGTTATACTCCACACTGGCAGTAAAACCACTGTTTTGTTTTTGCCAAACTATCAATTAAATTAGTAGGGCGGGAACGATGTTGTGGTAATTTGGAGAGAAACATTTTAGCGTGGCCGCGACCTCACTAATGCACCGTCTGACCTTATGTGCACAGACATAAACACAGAAGATAAGAGTCTGCGTCTCATTTCTGTGGCATATTAAACCTGCGCAGCTGACAGGCCCAGACTGTAGTCACTACACCGTCACAGGAACACGTCGGACACACGGTACTGGACTTGTCATCAGTACCGAGTCCAATTTTTCTTCCAAAAATAGATAATAAAGCAAATAAAAATGTGTCGGAATTCCTGGTGGTTCACGCCTTAGGATTGTGAACAGTGTGGAAACAGAACAGCCACTTAAGGCAGTTCAACCGCCTGGGACATGACAGAGAATACCATTTCCTCCAGTTGAACCGAGAGCATAATAAAAGTGGAAATGAGCTGAGGTGAGCCAATGACAAATAAAAGAGGAGGAGGAGGGAAATACCTTGTATCGTCCTTTTGAAAAAGGCTTTGCAGGCCTCACAGGAGGCCACGCCGTAGTGGTAGCCTGAGGCAATGTCACCGCACACCAGGCACAACCTCTTGGGAATGGCATTGAGCATGTACTCGCACTTGATTGTCGAGTCATCAGCCATGCCGCCGGAGCAGTCCTCGTAGCGGCGGAGGCAGGAACCGCCGCCTCCCAGCATGCCCGGGTTGAACATGGGAGGTGAGTCCAGGGCGTGAGGGCGTCCGCTGCCGTTGATGTAGCCACCACTGGCGTCAGAGTTGCCACTGGGACTGTGGTGACTGCCGGTGTCCACCAGGGAGGAGGAAGGACTGGAAGGCTCGGTTTTGACGTAGGAACCACAACTGGAGGACAGATGTCGGTCCTCAGAGGGCATTCTGGGTAACAGCCTGGACGACACACATCAGAGCAGGGAAGAAGTTAGAGTTTGGAAACGTGAAATCGAGAAGGGGAAAAAAAAATTCTACCAAACTGATCATCTTCTAATAACCATGTCATTGTGTAAAGAGATTTTTTTATTATTTAATAATAGATCATTTTCTTTATTTTATTATGTAACATTTTCAGGCTACAGAGATCAAACCTGATAACCGCCCCCATATCCACCCAACTGCTATATCTAGTGTTTTGTATAAACAGTACCAAGTACTAAGCTGTTCTGCCACTGCCATTTCAGATCATTCCAAGTTACTGGAACCAGTATCAACATCGTCTTTCAATTGTATGATAATCATGCGTACAAGCCCCGCCCCCATCCAGCCCTTTGTCAAAATATGTAGAAACTGGGGGAAAGAAAATGTATTCATGTAAAATCTGCTGCAGTGATAATACAAAACATCAGGCTTAACAACAATTAAAACAAATTAATTTAGGTCAAAACTATATATGTATATATATATATATGGAGTGGAAGCTTCAGCCTTAAAAATGCATCAAATATGAAACTAAGATACATCGCCACAGTTTAAGCCCTAACAAGTCACCGACCACATCCACTGAACGTTCTGGATTCTTCCATCATCGTCTGATTATCCCTGGAGAGATTCATCAGCCGTGATGGAGCGCCGGCCGCTTCATCCCAGTTTGATAGATTATGTTACAGACACGACCATTAATGTGTTGGAATGCCAAGTGATATACTACAGTAGCTTATTCCTCTCCGGCAAAATGGTAACTAATGAGCATGTCAACAGATGCCCCATACATCTTACAAACAATGCCCACAGTGGCTGTGCTGCCAGGGCGGAGTGAATGAATGAAACTCCAGAAGAGCGTTAATGGACACAGAGAGGTGTTTCACTCAGCATATGGAGCATCATGGGTAATACATGACCCAATCAATAGTCCTGGTGGTCGCTCTGCCAATATACAGTGCTGGGTTACAGTGGACTTTGATGGGAGGATGCAGAGGCTGGAGGACGACTGGAAGAAGGAGTTTATTATACCTGATTATATCCTAAGAAATCCCTGGTTTTTGTGGCTTGTTTGTCAAATCAACCGGAGGTGCGTGTCCCCCCCAGGGCTCCGCTTGGTACTTCTTTTTTTTCCCAAGAATTAGAAAATCCACAATAGAAACAAATTTCCAGGGTTCACCCCGGCCTTCCCATCAAATGGATCAGGCAGCAAACTGATAAATAAAAAGAAATGTAGTTGTAGTTTTACAATCAGAAAAAGATGATTTTAGCAGCATCTGTAGTGGTCTGCTCCTCAGTTCTTTAAGTTTTTTCCTCCTAATCTTTTTTCATTAGCCACAAATCCTGTCAAGTAGCCAGATTTGTTTTTACGAATAACTGACTCACGGTGTCACGTGCTGCTTATTCAGAAAATCAGAAACCACAGATTCAGCTGTGAGCTCGCTGCACAGAAACATTTTTCCTGGAACAGTGAAGGCATCACTGGCTATGTTTAGCCTTTATTTGAAGGGCATAAGACAACACGTTGAACTGTGTGGGTCAGGGGGCCTACAGGACATGCATCCATGGACCAAACTACGGGTCCGACTTTTCTGTCTCCCTTGCACTAACACTGATCCCACACTGCCGTCTGACCAAGGACACATTACGTTTTTCACAGCAGCTTCTTGAAAGTTGACAGTAAATCCAGGCTTGGACGTGTGACAGAACCGCTGCCTCTGTCCGTCACTGACCTCACACAGCATCCGTCCAGTCGGACAGCCGGTGTGGACAGCCGTGTTAAAAAGCCGCGTCTGAAACTAACAAGTACGTAACGCTACCCACTGAGTGTTGCCACGCAGCGGCGGCTTCTCCGTTAAAGCATTAACTGTTGTGGCTGAAATGTATTCCCCCTCGGCCGCCTCTCTGCGTAAGTGTTTATATAAAGGCATGAAGTCATCAGGCTCTGACAACATGAAACCTTTCTTTAACTGCTAACGGACGGACGGACGGACAAGAGGAGGATGAGAGGGTGGGAGAAAGGGAGGCAGGGAGGGAGGGAAAAGAAGATAGAGACTACCCCTGGGTCCAGATCCGATCTATTGATCTTCTGCTTCCTTCCTGTTCCAGATGAGGCATGAAAAAATAAACCCTCCTGTTACGGGTCCCAGACATTTCTTATGCATTTTTAATCAGCCAGGACTGTTAACACAGAGGGAGACGGAGCGACGGACTCTCAGTCAGTTTACTGCACTCTGTGGTTGATCAACGGTGGACTGGACCTGTGTTAAATCTTGTGAGCAGTCAGCATGTACTTTAGACAAGAGGAAGGAGTATTTTCCTTCATGTAGAGAGAGAGAGAGAGAGAGAGAGAGCGGCACGCTAACAGTTAATACATCATTGCAGCCAGATAGGGGGATTCCCAGAGGAACGGTACATTGTGGCATATGTAAAAAGTAGTTCATTCCACACTGAGCACACACTAACGCTGGGGAGACTTTTTTTTTTAGGTTTAATGGAAATTTCTAATGGGTCCTTTCAAATCTGTCGAAATGAAATAATGGCACCAGCCACCAATTCCTGTGAACAGAAATAGCTTCATGGTTTCATAATTTGGTTTACCCATCTTTATTATAAAGTTTCCTGAGCGCAGCCTGGCTCTCTACAAACACACACACACACACACACACACACACACAGAGGTGTTGTTCCTAACATCTAATGGGCCGGTGTTTGCTTCACTGCACAGAAAAATGCTACAAAGCGAGCAGACAAGCAGGACTCCTCACAGACGTGAAGGTCACCTGCTCCTCCGTTCTTCTGCTCTTCTCCGAGGTCCAGACGCTCCGGAGTGGACGCTCAGACACACAGGCGTGTTCAGTGTGTGTGTGTGTGTGTGTGTGTGTCAACCACACTGGGAGAAACGGAGCGAGTCTGGACAGGACTCCACGTAGAAAAGCAGGAGAGGTGTCCAGAATGTTTAATGCGACCCTGACCGGGGTCTGAAATGCCACTGACCACCGCTTATTTGTATGTATTTCTGAGCCGGCGGGTGATGAGAAGAGATTAAAATCTCAAAAGTGTATCTGTGCATGACTGTGTGTGTGTGTGTGTTTTGGCATCTCTCCTGTTACTGGCAGAGCTGCACTTCCACTGCATAAATCCTCCCTCCGTCCCTCCATCCCTCCAGCTCTCATCTCTAAACCAGGGAACACCTGCCTCCAGATTTCAGCAACATAAATTTTGAAGAAAAAAAAAAAAAACAACACATGTAAAGCACATATTCAAATCATTTCTCCAAACTGACCTCGGCCTGTCCTTTCTCTTTTTTCCAGTAGTTAAAAAAAATCTGCTTCCTGATGTTTTACTATGTATTTTTCCACTAAAGGGAAATATTGTTGTTAAGCTCGGGGGTTAAGCTTGTAGCGGCGTAAATCACGGTGCTGAACACACACTGGAACATGGAAGCGCAGAAGGACAGAGGCAAGGAGCCATGCATGAAATTAGTTCATTAATCTTTCTATGATAGGCTGTCCTTGTTTGGGGCAAACTCTATCAGCTTTAAACGCAGCGGCCCTTCCTGCCTGACACATAGATTACACTGTTAGTCCGCAGCCGAGGCGTCTGGGAAATGAATGGTCACGCGAGCGGGAAAATGGGGTAGAGAGTGTCGCCCCGGTGTTAAGTAGTAACAACAACCCGCGCACACGTGGCACGGCGTCGGTGCAAATGAAGGTCATCAAAATACTGCGTGGGTTTTCTAAAATGTAAATGGGTGATTTATGCTGCGCTGCTGCAGCTGCTGCTGTGAATGATGATGGCTCGGTTTGGGGAAAAGAGCAGTTAGTTAACGTCGGTAAAAATGGATTTTACAGCAGGAAAAAAGGCAAACTTAGGTAGAGTGACTTCACTGACCAGGGTCGACCCAGGACAGTCATGAACTGATTCTGAATTTTTTTTTTTTATTAATTTGGCATTTGTTGTAAATTTAAACCTGTTGTCATTTTTATCCTGGTTCCATTTGTTCTTAAATAACAACATGTTCTTTTTGTCCTTTAAATATCCAGTCTAAACCGGTTCACCTGCCGTTACATCTATTTACATCCAGAGGTGGACGTTTTACGGTGAAAAAGACTAAAACTGAGAATTATAAATATTGTTAAATAAAAAGGTTAATTACTATTTAGTATCAGTAACGACCGTGAGTATTTATGTTTTAATTAATTCTTTCCACAGCTGATATATTGACCTGTGACCTTTGACCTATAATTCGAGAGTTTCACGATTCCATCAAGCTGTAGCACAAACTTCAACTGAAAATATCAGACTGCGTTGTTACACATTTTCGGGTCACATGTATCACGCTGCTCCAGGTTGTGGATTCCATTTCCTGTAACGCTTTGACTAAGAGACTCTGGTAGAGAACGGGTTCTGGAGAAACTTTTACTAAAAAAAAAACCCAACCCATTAATAATTAAGTGGTGTGAATAAATGTTAGTTCAGTGTTGAATGACGACGAGCTGAGTATAAGGTTGATGTTCTGACAGCCGCCACCACAGAGCAGCAGCAGCAGCAGCAGCAGCAGCAGCAGCAGCAGCAGCAGCAGTGTTTCTCTGAGCTGCAGCTTCCTGCACGTCTCTGGTTTACAGTGACACTAGAGAAAAGCTGAGCTGTACGACACACTTCCTGTCATGTT